CTAATGGAAAAGATACTAGTATCTAAAAAATAAGTACTAGTAGCTAATGAATAAGCACTAGTAGCTACAGAATAAGCACTAGTAGCTAATGAATAAGCACTAATAGGTAAAGAATAAGCACTAGTAGCTACATAATAAGCACTAGTACTTAATGGAAAAGATACTAGTATCTAAAAAATAAGTACTAGTAGCATGAAAATAGATACTAGTAAGGTTTATAGATTAAATGTTAAAACGGCTTTCCATACATATCAGCCTTAATTCTCATATCTAAAGTCTGTTATCAGTTATGCTACACATCAAGTATCATACATGTTTTGTAGTTATCAAATTCTCATGAATACTGCTTTGTAACAGGTCTATGCATCACATCACAGGCTACTAACTTACTCTGGTAAAATCACATAGTATTAATACACTAGTCCTCTGAATACATATGATTCAATTATACAACTTCAACGTTACGTACTGGAGATTTAAAACCTGAATTGACGCTCCTGGCGTTACATCTGGAACCTGGAGGTCTGTATAGAGTAAACAAACCTTGCTATTCATGCTAAAACAGATTTGTATTGAACGTTTGCAGAGTTGCTATATTTGTTTACCTTCTCCGTGAAGACACGCCCCTTTGCCGTGGCGTAACTTTGACGTTCATCACACGTAATCGCTCTGATTGGTTCTCTGAGGTATGAGCGTTTTGATTGGTCCATTGAAACACTTCCGGTACACGCCATTTGATATTTTACGCACACACTGTAAAGTGTGGAACCAGATGTTATTTCTGCTAATAAGAGTCCAGGTGTCCAATTTTTCCAGGTGTATTTACGTTATACTAAACAATGTTCTCTAATTCGATTCATTGTTCTAGAGTGTCTTCACAAAAATATTCAAATAAATGACAATACGACTAAAATTCTTACGGTTTTGGGGAACTTTCATATGCATACAGCAATAAACTGTGAATGTTCAAATTTGAAAAATAACTAAATATGTTTTATTATGTAGCAAATAAATCAACACATTATAGATAGGATAAATGAGTAATGCAGTCATAAAGAAGTTTAATATTTTGTCGTTAGATGGCGGCATTTCACAATGTATGCAAAACCATAAAATGGGTGCGCTAGACTGTAAGGTGAAGAAAAGTATTACACATTTCCCAGTAGAAAGTTAGAGATTAGATATCATCAAAGCACAAAAACAGCGTTCATAAAGAACATAGATCCAGTAAAACACTGCTAACAAGAACCCAACATGTATAACCAGGCAGTCTCACTGATGAGTAACGCAATGGGGATTGATTGTGGGATATTCAGCGATAGCTACTGTAAATGGTTAAAAATGTGTCACCAATGCACCAAACGTTTTTCAGACCTTCTTTTAAAGAAAGCACCACTATATAAGTATGCAGAAGTAAAAGCGTGGTCCACTGACTGAGCAGTGTTTGTATCCCAATAATGACATGACCTCCACGGCCCTCATCAGAGTGACTCCTACTCTTTCTAAATCACTGCACACAATTAAAATGTCCTTTGATTCGCTTAACAAACTGTATAATGTGGAAGCATCTTAGTATGGATGAAGGGAACACAGAATGTAACCTTTAGACAAAGAACTAAGGTGTTGCTGTGTGGTTGCTAGGTGCTTTGAGTGTCTTCAGAACATCTCGACTCGATGTAATCCTGTAACACACATCTGAAGTGTGTGTGGTGAGATATTACACGCTTCTGTGAGAAGACTTGCGTTTTAGAGGGAGGAACGCGGAGGTAGAAATCTACTTTGTGCTCCAGAGCTCCGCTGATGTTTAGATATAGTTATCAGGGAAGCTGTTAAAATGTATCCCCTCTGCCAGTGTTCAGAGTTTCTGCTGCACAGCGAGAGAGAGTGAAAAACTAGTACATCACACACTTCATCTGTGGCTAGTGCAGGTCTGAAGGGACGCGTTTATGATACAGAGGGCCTAACGCTGTGAGATATTTAGTTTGTCAATCATCACATAGATGATGGAAGAAGACATTTTTCAAGTCTTTCAGTTCATAATGATGATATGGAGACCCATCTGACAGGAAGGAGACAAAAGTATCTAGCGTAGCGTTAGTTCTGGCAGGTCACGTTAGTCAAGCTCGCATCAGCTGACTCTCAGCTGATCCCCATCAACCTATGGGAATACAACACCTAAGCATTCATATATAAGGTCCCGCAGTAGTATCAGCAGTTTTCACATTGCTCAATAGCTAATTACCCTCCTCCATCCCCAGCTCCTCCTCTGTCAGTCAGGATTCAGCCTTCTGATTCTCCTTTGAATCAGACTAATTCTAAAATGTGTACATAACATTACTGAACTTTAACGATATCTGCATACATTTATGTTGGTTCTGTTCTATTTACCGGGGTGGTTATCGCGGCTCTCCCTGCTCTCATCCATGCTAGGCTGCATGGATGCGCAGGAAGTTCTTGCCCAGAACGGAACCATACCGCCAATCCAAACTGTATGCTAATTGTCAATCATCTTTGACGATAGTGGTCCTGACAGAAGTTTAGTTCGTGGTTAATTCTGTTATTTTGTCTCTCTCTGTGAATCCTTCACTACTGAGGTGAATCTCACACAAACTAAAATGTCTGGGTTAATAAGAAATTACTTAATTACTGCCTAATTTCAAGTTAAAACAAGGGTACAAATTAAAGCAATTCTATTAATTAAATTAATTTAAAAAAAAAAATATATATATATAATTAATCTAAATTATAATTGTATTAATACATTATTAATATATTACACATATTAATATAGAATATAATTTCATTAATGAATAATAAATATCATTTATAATTTATAATAAACAATATTTTAGTCAGTTTTTCCCCCCTTTTGAATTTGGACATAAATGTAGGAATTGTTTTTGTGAGATTTGCTCATTGAACTGAACTAAAATAATTATTTACAAAGTGTTTTCATCGTTATTAATTTATGAATCAAGGAAAACAACTAAACAAAATATGGAGTGTTTTTATATCAATTTCCCAATGCTAATTTATGATGTAACTTGTACGATGTAAGCCATATGCAACTAAGCAAAATACTTATAAAATACCTTTACTGTGTGCTGCAGATTTGTCTTGCTCATGGCTGTTTGAGACAAACTGAGTCAGCGTTCACTGGACACATCTATGTAATATCTGTTCAAAATCCTGTGAGCTTGTGGCCATTTCAGGAGCCGTCTGCCTGTGGTTGAATGAGCAGTGTCAAAGGAAGATGGCTTTAAATAAATAAATAAAGGAAAAGGACAAATTAGTCCATTTGGTCGGCCCTCCTGAGCCAGGTTTATTAATTCTCTGTCTATATAAAGAGCTGGGGGAGAGTGAGTGAGAGGGTAGGATGAAAAATCCTCCTCTCGTCCTCTAGATTTAAACAACAAGCCTGCGGTGGCTCTTCACTTCTCACACCAAACATATAATACATTTTATTTGCATGATTGCGTCTGTTTGCTTCTGCAGAAAACCTGCTGACAAGACCAGCTTAGACCAGCAGGAAAGGCGTTTTTTTATATACTAAAATGTATTTGAAAGACATTTATTTCATGCTAAGTATGCTACAAATACATTTACATATTATTTATGTACTTATTGAAAATACCCTGCAATTGTACTTTTAGTATACTAAACTGGTATATCAAGTCTGCTAATTTGGAACAACTAATTTTGAACTTAATGCACTTTAATTGTGTGGAAGTAGTCCAAGTAAAGATATACTGAAGCATATTCGATTGTGCTAAAGTGGAAGTTTACTTCAGGCACACTTTAAATATCTTGCATTTAAAGACAATCATACAATTCTCATCAATAGTTACATTAAAACACATTTTAGGTTAAATATTAAGAAATGTGCATTGTACACAAGTAGTAGTCCAAATAAAGTGTAATTATAATTTTTATACCAGTAAGTACTGCCTTGTTTTTGCTGTATTCACTCTTGACCTGAGGTGGTATTTAATTTGTAGTGTCTGAAACAAAAGCAAGTTAATGCAGAGAGAATGACTGCATTTCTTAAAACGGTTCTGTAACAATCTTAGAATGAAATGCTGATCAAAGAACCTCTTGACAATATTACTGTGAATCTCAATATTTATGTATTGGCTCTGAAATAGATGTATGCAAGAAATAAAGCATAAAACAAGCGACATAAAACAATGTTTTCATTTCCATGCAATTTAAAAGTACATAAGAATGACCTATGTTTTATATTTCAGAAAGAGAGTCAAAACAGCTGATAAAAACACTGAAAGAAACTTTAAACCGTCGCTTCTGGGATAAAATGAACGCATAATCTATAATAACGCTTCCTCCGGTGAAAAAAGTTAATCTCCTGTTATCCTCTCACATCAAAATCACCAAACATATTTGTTTTCATCTGTTTTGGGCTGTTTTCACTTGTAAACAGTGCTTGATCTGTGCATATTTCTCTCCTGATTCAGATGAGAAGTCTTTACACTGGAAAAAGCAATATTATACATAAAGCACACGTATTTTAGCTTTGATGATGGATTTGTTTCTTACGAACATGAAGATTTTTTTTAAGAGAGTCAAAACAGCTGATAAAAACACTGAAAGAAACTTTAAACCGTCGCTTCTGGGATAAAATGAACGCATAATCTATAATAACGCTTCCTCCGGTGAAAAAAGTTAATCTCCTGTTATCCTCTCACATCAAAATCACCAAACATATTTGTTTTCATCTGTTTTGGGCTGTTTTCACTTGTAAACAGTGCTTGATCTGTGCATATTTCTCTCCTGATTCAGATGAGAAGTCTTTACACTGGAAAAAGCAATATTATACATAAAGCACACGTATTTTAGCTTTGATGATGGATTTGTTTCTTACGAACATGAATATTTTTTTTACTTCACAAGACATTAACTGATGGACTGGAGTGGTGTGGATTACTTGTGGATTATTGTGATGTTTTTATCAGCTGTTTGGACTCTCAATCTGACGGCACCCATTCACTGCAGAGGATCCATCGGCGAACAAGTGACGTAATGCTACATTTCTCCAAATCTGATGAAGAAACAAACTCATCTACATCTTGGACGGCCTGGGGTTGAATACATTTTCAGCAAATTTTCATTTTTGGGTGAACTATTCCTTAAAACTCTAAACTAGTCTAATGACCGTTTCTAAAGACTGCCCAAATATAAAACATGTTAAAGATGAAATAAGAACAAATGTGTGCTAAATTAGGTAATTTGTGTTCTACTTTATACCTAAAGGTTTACCAAATGCACTTTTCCCACATACCACAGTCATCTTTCACTGTTGAGAAAATGGATTAATTATATTCATGACTCATCCTGCACTATCTAGATTTTTGTCCAATCAAATGCTCTCAAATAAGAATGTCCCTCCCCCAATAGCATCTGAGTCTGACAATGTTCACAACATTACTTACTCAACTTCCTGACTCCACACATGACATGAATTCAATAACCAAAACTTATTAAATTGTGACCATGTTTTATTTTATTAACTTGTTGACCAAATGAATTAGTAAAATATGGCCACAATTTCACTAAAATAAGGAAACAAATTAATAAAACATGGCTACAAATGAATAAGCCATGCTTGGTTTTTTTTGCATGTCATGTGCATGGCTCCAT